CTTTTTTTGTCTCGTTGATGGACGAGAGGTATCTTTAAGCCAATTGTAGGCATCGGTCATGGCCGCAATTGTTATAACTGGTTCGAGTCTAAATCGTTTGTAATCCGGTAACTGAGGGTCTCTCTCACTGGACCAACCAGATAGAAGCTTGGAGATACAGTTGACGAATTCTCCAAGAGGTAGCCTCTTCCGAAGTGTTCCCTGACGTTTGATGAGTCCATTTATTGACTCGAGTCCATTATTAGTGGAAGGGAACCCTGGGGCAGTTCCTTCATACCAGCCGCACCTTTGGTCAATATATTCTCCAATAAAGTAGCCAACGAAGTTTTTGACGGCATCAACTCCGGACCATTTCTGCCTAAACAAATGTACAGCCACCTCGAAATCAAGTTTATCTTCTGCTAACTGAAGTAAATCTATGTCAGACTTTAATTCACGCCTGGTTTCCGGACATTCTATTTGTTTTAATCGATCCTTGATCTTTGCACTCACGTGGTACCAACAATACACTCGAACGAAGTTGCTCCCAAAAACTGATTCGAAGCCGTTTGTGATTGCTTCTGCTGAATCAGCAATTAATACTTTTGGCTCATATTTAGTAGGTGGTCATGAGCAGTGTTGGTCTGATAACGAATTACGTCTTGTCCGTCTTCTATACATATATCATACAATATTGAGAGTAAAAGTAGAATATATAATTTACGATTACATTAGGTCATTGACTGCCAATGATTTACATACCAGCGAGAAGCAGATATAGCTTAGCAGAACACTTGCTGGATACTTTGCACTTATAAAAATGCTTCATGCCACATTCGGTTTGATTGGCAGATTTGAAACGAAACTCTCCTTCGGCCTTCAGAATTTCCTCCGCAATTGTTAAGTTTTCATAAATTGCACCCTTAAAGTAGTCTAAGAAGTTTCTTTTGAATTTGGCCTTCTTTCTTGGTGGTAAATTGTCTTCGTCTGATGACTCCGTATCAGAAATATTGAGAATTGTGGTTTCAAACTCGGTCATTGTAAAGTTTGTTTAGAAAACTACAGATAAATGTACTTTCTACTACAGAGTGGAGAGCTGGAGTGAATAAAAGTTGATCATTATGAGGGGCGTATTTGAGGATATTAATTAGGAAAATAAGGCCGTTTTCAGATATGTAAGGCTACACAATTTAATGTTTAAGGCAAACATTCAGTCCATCGTAAGGCATATTTAATAAGGCACTGTTTCAGTCATATAAGGCAGACATTAATATTTACCCGTTAGAATTTGTATCCGTTTCGAAATAGTCCTGTTTAACTGATCATAGTTTAATACTTTATGAGAATATATATTACCTCTTTCTCGAATACTTCCTCTCATCATAATGAAATCCAAGTTTAAAAGTTTTTAAAATTTAATATTTCAATGCGATCTTAACGTGTATTATCAATTCTGGAAAAAATCGAGTACTTATGAACAATGAAAGTACGTATGTATTATGATCGAGAATATAATAAGTGCTTTTTACAGACACACTTCTTTTGCTCATAATAAGGTACTTCGCTGTCCATAAGTACTCGATTTTTCCAGAGGTGATAATTAAGATCGCCTTGAAACATTTTAAAAAACTTTATAAATTAAAAAATACTACAGTATTTTGTTTAATTTATTCGCTGAGATGAGAGGAAGTATTCGGGAAAAAAGTATTAATTATGACAGCAAAATGTAAATTAAATGTAATTAAATTATGTATGCTCACTTAAACATACCTCGTTCCGAAATTATTATTTTTAAATATTTTTGTCACGTGTAATGGCACTCGCTGATTTATTCCTGGTTTTTAAAACTTACAGTGGTTTTTAAAACTTACAGTATTAATCAAATAAACTGCTTAGCTGCCATGAAACAACTTCGTCTAACGTACGGCAGCTGTTTTCAGCTTTTAGAATATAGTTTTAAGCTGAAACACAGTTAAAACCCATTAAAACCCGAATAAAACCCATTAAAACCCAAATAAAACCCATTTAACATGGTAAAACCCAATGGGTTTTATTCGTTAACAACCCATTAAAACCCATTAAAACCCAAAAAACCCAACCCAATAAAACCCTGGGTCGGAATACCCTGATCACAATCAAAATTTGTGTGTTACCATTGTGAATAAAAGGTTGCGCTAGATTACATAAGAGGAAAACACGGTTGTGTACTCGTGCTGTATTTTTATTAAAAATTTCATCCGTCTGCCGTAGCTGCTAAAGTACGTCTGCCATAAACTACATAAAACTAGACCGACAGCTCGTAACACATTTCCTCTTCCCTTGCACACACGTTGATGAGGAAGAGGAAGACGCAGATGGGAAAGCTTACAAAACAATAACAATGCTTTCTCCGATTCTGAAACTGCAGACGGAAATCAAAGCTAAATTGCGGTCTCAATATGCCCCTCAAAAGTCATTTTCTTCGAGTACATATATGTAGCTGGGTTGGATTTGATGGTTCGTAGAGTTGTGCAATGATCAAAAATTGTCGTACTAAATAATTGGCAGGAATTGATGTGAGTAAATTTGCAGAAATGTACGTGCTCAAAAGCTGACAAAAATTTACGTAGTAAATAATTAGCAGAAATTGACATGATAAAAACCTATCAGTACAGCTTTGCTTAGCCCGAACCAGGATTGATTAGTAAACTCATGTTTGTCAGAATTTTGTACTATTTTTCACTAATTCTTGCATTAACTAGCGTAACTTGGTAGTATTGCTTGGCACCAAATACCACGAGCAGTGGAAGCTGTTCGTATAAAAATTTCAGAGCTAAGCAACCAACCACACCAATAAATTTTTATTTCTAGCAAAAATCACCCAAACTTTTCGCCCAAAGTGGTTGCACCCGAGTAAATAGGGTGGATAAAGGTCGAAAAAACCATTGTTTATTATGATGGAATGGAAGAGCAAGCGAGAGTAGAGTTCACACAAATCCCAATCGTCCAGTTCAGCCACGTCTGGCCTGCGGCGTGGCGTGGTGAAAGTTGGTCAGAGAAAACACTACCATGACTTTCTCCTCCATCGTGCGTGTTCTTGCATCAGATCACTAACCACCTTCTGCAAAACGTCCAGTTTGACATACGAATATCACAGCACATACTTTTTATGTTGCAAATCTTTACATCGTTATTTGTTCCCCATACATAAAACCACACTCTTAGAAAACAGGTATTAAATCATTATACCTGACCGGAGTATGCACGTGACTCTACCGGCACGGTAATGACGGGCATGACCGTTTAATAATGTTTTTGTAATGAAAAATTTACCGCTCAGAAACAAACTACTACCAATCCGGTAGAAAATTATTGCCAAATCAATACCAGTACGGAATGTGCGTTCGACTCTACCAGATTTCTAACAGTGCAGTGAAATGTTCTTCCTTGTACCACAAACACGATGTAAACGGAACTTGGAAATGATGATGGGAACCAGTTTCACTCACTCCCAGAAAACACATACACAAGACCAGAGCAACAGTACCCAACCCATCACAACATTCTGCACAGCTACCAGTTTGCCAAAATTCGCATGCATGTGTACCGAATGAGACTCCATCCATCCATCCATTCCCCATAACAAGCCCACTCTTCCTCCCAAGTAGAATCATTCCGACGCGAATTGTCGGCCTGGTAAGACCACTCCACCAAACTCGTCTCTCTCTTCCCAACTTTCTCCTATCACAAATTTCAATCTGACGGGGAAACCTGTGACATTGTTTAGTTTATATAAACTCATAAATCATAGTTCACTCATCAATTATCCACATTCGACCCAATATCACATCAAGCCACACAACATTAAAACGAGAAGAAATTACCGCCCGGCATTTACCTATCTATCCACCAAAGTGATGAATATTCTAGTGTTTTGGTGCTTTTGAGACTAAAATAAACCGTACTTACATACATACGCGTGGTGGTTTTAATTGAACTGTAGAATTGTGACCAGAAGAAGGACGATATAATAATTGGATTTTGTTCGGTACGTACGTAAACTGCTCTCTGTAATTTTAGTAACATAACGTTGAAGGTAACATTCGATTTGTCCTCCTCGTGGAGGTAAATGTGTGTGTAGTTCTGCGTCAGTTAGCTTTTTTGCATGTCTATATATTTATAGGGTTGAAATAAATGGAGAGGAGTTTTTTTTCTTGTTAGGCATACATAAATTAAATATTTCGCTTAGCGTAAAAAATTGATGTTACGAAATCTTGTAAATGATAAGCAGAAGGCGGATATGTATTTATTTATGTATGGTCAAGTTTTGAATTTGGGGAGGAACGACGGTCAGACTTTGTGGGGGATAAATTTCAAAATATTTTTACACATTGTTTCACGCATATTTCCGAAAATCTTGTACAGATTTTTTTTAAATACATATATTTTGTAACTATTTTAGCGATTTGAGATAAACATTTTTTGCTTAAAGAAATTTGACCAAAAAAATTGAAAGAACTAAATATATTCAAAAATTCAAATTTTGCAAAAATTTTTATTTTTATTTGTATTTAATTCCTGAGTTACATACTAAAATGGCAAATGCAGGATCTTGAATTAAACCAATTGTTTATTTTCTTTCACAAAATTTAGTTTTCGACTTGTTAGTCATGACATTTTTCATTTTTCGAAAATTTCAAATTTTGACGATTCCGAGCGTTATATATTTCTAGGTTTTCAGACATACATTTACGAATATTATTTTCTTTTTTAAATATTTTTTTTTCAAAAATACATGTATTTGCTAAATATTTCAACGAACGAATTTTTTTATTCAAAGAAATTGGAGTACAAAAAATCACATTTAAAAATTCAAATTTTGTAAAAATTCATTTCATTCATTCATTCATTCATACATATTTCTTAAATATTTTGGCGTTTTTTCTTAAATATTAAATACATATTTTTACTATTTTTTCGCAAACACATATCCTTCCTCTGCCCCATAATAATAATAATATGCTGTATTTTGGCAGATACATAACTGTGAACTGCATCCAACCAGCCATCCACCTCCATCATTGTACTTCACCTGATGTACATCACATGTAATAAGTAATGGGAGGAGGAAATCAGTCCTGAAAACTCGACATCATCACCATTATCTTCTCCTTAAGATGAGACATGGACATAATAAATGCGAGTTTGCGAAGGAGAAGAATCGTAGCAGGAAAACTCGTGTTCTTCTTTAATGCCGTTTCATTTAATTGGATTGAGAGTGAGTGATGCACTACTGAGATTTGTTCTCGTGGCCAAGATAAAACTTGCTTAACGGACGATATACACAGAACTAGATAGTTGGTTGCTTATTATATGAATACTTAATCCACCTCCAATTTGTGGCTGGGAGGATTCGTATGTATAACTGCACTACTTCCACTACTTTTTTGGACTGGTATCTTCTCTTACAAGGTGAGAAATGGAACCTTTTTCTTATTATGTAATTTAGCCAAAAATGCGTGAGAATTGAGGAAGAATTTGTTTCAAGTTTTATAAGTAAGTATGTACATGAACTGGATAAATTGCGTAATTAATTAAAGCATCAATCACCCCATTGTGTCGGTGGGGAGAGAAAATTGGAGTGGTTCGGGTGCAAGAAATAACGGGGAGAAAGTGGGTTTTTAACAAGGTGTTTATTTTGACCTGCAAGAAATGCAAGGCGCAAGAAACTACTTGATACGGAATGGTGCCTATTTCTTGCACTTTCTCCCAGTTTCGTGCACCTCGCATTTCTTGCTTTGCAGTGCACGAAATGCATTTTGCAAACACGTGAGAAACCCTGCAAACTGGGTAATTATCATCAACTTGAAAATTCACAAAGGGGTTGTTACTACATATACTTTTACAAAGCTTTATTTGGCAATCCGAAACCTACAATGTTTTCGCTAAAAAGAACAAGCGACTTGCCAACTTGATAATTAAACAATGATTGAGCTTGAACTTTTTAAGAGGAGGAAAAGACCAAGTTTTCCAAGATTTCTTGGCCTTACTACGACTTTTCATTCATTCATTCCCCCTAATTTCCCAAGGGTTCTAACTTCGTTAGAACCCTTGGGATGGGGTTGGTAGATAGCAGTGGCCGCGGAGGCTGTGGGGACATTAACATTGTAGGATAGGGGGAGGGATGGGTTTGTATAAGATGGGGAGATGATGCCGACATCGAAGAACCGTGGGGACATTGCCCTTCTGTCCGCGGCCCCTGGTATCCGTAGGCATCACTACTTTCGTAGTAAAATTCACAAAACGACATATAAAAACTACATATTTAAGCAATCGTCACCTACCGGGAACATTTCCCAAAAGTTCCCACCCATTTCATTTCATAAAATAAGTTAGGAGAACATTTTACGATAAGTTGTAGTAACGTAATAACAAAGTTTGTCAACAAGCCGACCATTCAGCTTATCTGGTGGATACCCAACGACTTATGGGCTCGTTTACACGTTTAAGTGCTATTTTGCAGTCGTCTCATCATCCTTTAAAGTAGATACTTCAGCCCTCCTGACACTGACATTGAGTGACATCCGTGAAGGAAGAGAACAAACCGTGCGAAGAGAGAAAGTCGTCTCCTCTTTGAAATGACGATGTCGTCAAAAATGCGTTGCATAATGGGTCGTTGGCTGGTCACACTTCTTGTCTCAATATTTATATTTGCCAGGCACCGCAACAACTCATTTGCATATGTAAATACCGTCCTGATGCAGGACACTCTTAGAAAACTGGTGCTAAATCATTACTGATCTGAGTACATTGGTATATGATCCTGGTAATAAGAGGCATTACCGTTTAGAAATGCTGTGGTAATGATATTAAGAAACAAAGTGTTACCAATCCGGTAGGAAGTTATAACCATATCAATACCAGTACGGAATATATATGTGACTTTATGTGAGTCTATCAGATTTTTAACAGTGTAGTATTAAATCGTTGCTGGTTCTACCGGGACGGTAATAGAAGACAGTACCATTTAGTAATGTTGTGGTAATGGAAAATTTACCACTGAGAAGTAAACTCTTACCAATCCGGTAGTAGCTTATTACCAAATCAATACCAGTTCTACCTTACCACCAGATTCTTTACAGTGCAGCAGCTCAAGTCGTATATTTATATTTCCCGTAATAAAATAAATTCCCCCGAAATCCTTATTATTCTAAGGAAGCCGTAAAACAAGCAATAACTACTTCAAACTTTCACCACACGAATGCAACCCAAACTTTACGGTGGAGTGAAAGCCCTAGGCAAATGACATGCTTGTTGGCAACAAAATATACACATCGCTTTCTCTCTCGTTCGGTGCAATAACCGAGGTCTGAAATGAAGTGAAGGATAAACAAGAGTAAAACCCAACCAAGCAGAAATCAGGGAGTGATTTCTGTTTAAATATATTTTCAGACTTGCACTTTCACCACGTTCATAAATAAATAAGTTGAAATTCAGTTCTCATCTCATCATCATCTTCATTCGGAGATGAATTAGTTTAGAGTTGCATGTATGCATTCGTGGTTTTAGTTTGTAAGGTTTGTTCACCTTGTTCATTTTCTTGCTTAAAGGATGAGAGAAAGTTGTCTATTTGTTCCGTTTTCCTATCAAGTGCTTACTAGCCAGAAATCATGGAGTATATTTTCAGACTTGCACTTTCATCAGGTTCATAAATAATTTACATAAAATCAGTTGTCATCTCATTATCATCATCATCATCCGGAGATGAATTAGTTTAGCATTACATGAATATGGAGTTTGGTTTGTTCAACTTCTTCCTTACACGATGAGAGAAAGTTGTCTATGTTTGTGTCCCGTTTGGCATAGTGCAGCTCAATCAAGAAATAAGTGTTGGTTGCCAAAAATTGTCATTGTCACCCCCAACCAAGCAGAAATCATGGAGTGATTTCCACATATATTTTCAGAGTTGCACTTTCACCACATGCAAAATAACTTGAAATTCAGTTCTCATCGCATCATCATCTTCCGGAGATAAATTAGTTTAGGATTGAATACATGCTTTCTAGTTTGCAAAGTTTGTTCACCTTGCAAACCTCATTTTCATCTTTAATACTTCGATGAGAGAAAGTTGTCTATTCTTTCCGTTTGCAGCTCTAACAAGCCGTTTGCCATGCAATTCGTTGGCACTGCGCTAACCCCGAAATCGTCACAGTCATTACGAAACTATTCAATTATGCTTCACCAAACTTCTCCCACTTGTTCTGCCTTCTGTACAAAATAAGAACAAAGTCAGCACCACGGAGCTGCTGACTGACTTAATTATTGAAAAGTTGCCCTATCCTCGCCATCCAAACGGCTATGATATCTACGCCATCGCCACATTAATAACTTTCTTGTCAACTTTTACCCAAAAACTTATTGCTGCTTCCAAACCCACGCCGTGCCACTAAAGTTATAAGGAAAGGGCAAGAAGTGAGCTGAGCGTGCCTTTGGTTGGTTCCACTTTCTATTTTGATTGGCCTATAAGTGTCCTTCTGCTGGGTAACAACCGGCCGGCCACCTCGAAAACTGGAGAAAGTCAGTCACAACACAACAGCCGGAAAGTAATTGCAGATTGGGCTGGCATTTCAAACTTTAAACAACGACACGACAGGGTCACTAGTATATTTATGGCAGTGGCCGCGGAAGCTAAGGGGACATGTGGGGACATTAACATTGTAGGGAGGAATAACATGGGCAGATGATGCGGACATCGAATAACCCTGGGGATATTGTCCCTCTGTTCGCACCCTTCCGCGGCCACTGCATCATGCTCATACATTTGAGTTGCCTGAATTCTCCCAGTGGCCGCGGAAGCCGTGGGGACATGTGGGGACATTAACATTGTAGGATGGGGGGAGGGAGTGGTTTATATAAGATGGGCAGATGATGCGGACATCGAATAACCATGGGGACATTTTTCCTGTCTTCCGCGGCCACTGATTTACGTACGTACATGGTTACGAGGACGTATATATCCATCCGCGTATGTATTGATTGCAAAAAGCTATTAAGCAAAATGCCTCATCCACCCAAAAAGCCGGTCGTAAGTCGCCAGATGCATAAAAAATTCAGGGTTGGTTATGGTAAAATACAGCAAAAATACTCTTCTCTCTGCTGCATGCAGATTTTTGGCATTAGGTACACTGTTAGAAATCCGGTAATAGAATAATAACGAGTACAGTAGATAGAATTATTTATGCGTGTCACCTCACTTGCATATTTATTTTGACGCATTAGCGAGAACGTATTCAACATGGAAAGCCCGTCTCGCCGAAAATGAGAATACTGAGAATTTATGCAAATGAGGTGACGCGCACAAATAATTCAACTGTATGTATATAACTCTACCAAAATATACTGACACCGTGCTCAAATTTTACCAACGCGTTTTTTTACCACTGGTAAAATGGTAAATTACCAAAACTTCCAGAAATCAATTCCTCCCTGACTTCTAATTACATACATACCAGCTAATTTAATTTAATAGCGTGGTGGTGGTGGTGGTGGTTTGTATAGAAAATGGCTTTAAATTTATGAGAGGAGCCCCTGAACCTATCCTTACTTTAAATGTACATACAATTAAATACATGTGTATTATCAACATCTAGACGTATAATAATAAACGAGACGACAACTAGTAAACAAAATTTGGATGACAATGATACCCACAAATTACATACATACGATAAGTAAGGAGGTCTAACCCACAAAAAATTCGTCCTTTAATGTATTCACGTATGAATATTTGATACAGTTTTAGCCAAAATAAGTTCAATTCAATCCAAGTTATCAGTGGATTGATTTGATTTAATTCGGTTTTTTTATATAAATATTTAGTTAACTTGGTGAAAGTTGGAGTTGTCCAAATTTATGACACGTGTGAAACCCGAGATGACGCCAGGAATAACGGTGTCACGTTTTATCCTAATCAGATAAAATGCGGTGTGGTGGTGCAAATTGAGACTTTTTTTTTAGACTTACATACACTGTTACAAATCTGGTATGGTCAGGCAGGTCTTGATTTCCCGGTGTTAAAGTTGCTACCCCTTGGTATTAAATTTATACCGTAAAAATTTGCCTACCAATATGGCAATACTTTAATACTGAGCTATTACTACAGGGTATCGCTTATCAACCCAACTTTGGTAGAGCATACATGAATACCGCTTGGTATCATTTTAATACCGGATTTCTAAGAGTGTGCATGTCAATGTCAAACCATATCCATAATTGTGTTACATATGTATGTATACCCAGAAATATTAAAATAAATTAGGAAACCTGACACCTTTTGAGGGACCTTGATTTGATCCGGTTTCAAGATCATGTTCATCAAATGCAAGTCTCCGACCGACTCGCCCACTCATCCATCTTTGCATTGAAAGTGATGTGACGACTTACATTTCGAGGATAAAAAGCTTTATATATGC